AGCCCATTTGGTTGGCAAATCACCCATGGAACATATCTCATTCTTGGAAAATACTGGGTCTTCCATAGTCAGTATTCTATTCCAGTTGGCAGTGAATCTAAAGTTGAATAAAGAAACTGACCTTAGGCATTGCCTTTTGAGTAAGGTAACTTACTGATAACTTAGTGTGTACTAACTATTTACAGGCAATTTGATTAGTTTTTATCAGTTCATTGTACCCAAACATTCCATTTTTTTCATCACATAAAGAATACCTAAAATATATTGCTTATTCATTTTACATATTTTTTGCCTTCTCATATTCACCATCCATCACCAAGTCTTTTCTCATTTCTTCATCAATGTCGTGAAAACCAATAAATACCCCCTTGTCCAATTTGTTAAACTGCTTGCACTTCTGTGATTTCATTCTAATCCCTCATAGAGGAGCATCACTGAGAGCTTCATACTGCCAGCTCTGGCCTTTCCCACTCCTGTATTTTCTGTGTGCTGCCCACTGGAAGTCTCGGATCTAAGCTCTGCCTCAGATGAGTAGAGTACCTGGATATCCACCTATTCAAGGAATATCATCCCCCCATGGGCATAGGAATCACCTGAGAACACCTTCTAAAAATGCAAATTTCTGCTCTTCCCACTTCACCTCTGCCCTCTCAGCCAGCTGTCAGGGGTCTGGTGTGGATCCCAGGAATCTGTTTGTTGCAGCTACCCACAATAATTCTGGTGCACCTAGTCTCTGGGCCACTCTGTGAAAGATGACTTAGCCAGTGTTTCTCTCCCTCCAACTTGTCCCCCTCCTCCTCCTCCTCCTTCCTCTTCTGGAACACAGAAGTTAGATAGTGATAAGTTGATTTCATCAACTGTTAATATTAAACTTCATCCCCAAACTCTTCCCGCTACACAAATAATTTCCACATTTCCCATGGACAGAATTCCAGGTTTGGGAGGCAGCATGCCTGATTCATAACATTGGATCCACAACACCCCTCAATCCATCCATGCCCCTACATTGACCTACTTCCTCTTCTAAAATTAAAGTAATACTCTGTATCCTCCTTCCTTGCAGATTTGTGTTGAAAATTAAATGTGGGAGAAGATATACAAATGCTTCATAAATTATAGAGATTTTTCACAAAACTATTACAACAAAAAAGTATTTAGAAATGCTTCTGTTAAAGTATTGGAGATAGTTTTTTAATGGTGTTTTGCATCAGGGATTTTGAGCAACTCTGCCAATGTTTCTGATGCAGCATATGTTTGAGGAGAGGCAGTTGTGATTTCACTGCATTTTAAGTTGTGGCATCTCAGCCCTTCCCTATCCTATCCTGCTCAGATACATTTAACAGCTTTGCAATGTAATTTCACAGATTCAGAAATTGAGGTCTTTCAGATTCTTTAACACAAATCCAAAAATTACACCCCCTTGTGTTTCCAGTGAAACCTTTTCCCTACACACAGAATATAAAGTATCAGATACTAACAATAGAATATTAAAAGCCAAATTTGAAGCAATTACCCACAGCTTTGGCGGATAGTTCCACACACAGCTGGTGCCCAATCAGAAAATCTGCATCTGTCACCCACCATCTCTGCTACTCATACAATCAGAAAGTCAGAGCTGCAAAGGATTTTATAGATAATCTTCCTTCTCATTTAAAAGATGGGAAAGTGAGGCACAGCAAAGGGACTAAGTCATCGAGTCACATATGGAGGGAGGCTAAAAAGGCATTAGAACACAGGTCTCTGTCTCCTGATTGACTGCTCACCTTGCTGTACTCAGCTGCTTCCTTTGCTGAGTTAGTATGGTGACCTTGGAGTTGAAAGTGAAAGTGGTTCACTCAGTGTTAAGGCCATGTGCGCTGAGTGTGATCCATTGTACTGGAAAGAGGTCTCTTGGGGTGCAGCATATTTGGCCATAATTTTTGTATCTTAAATGAAAACTAAAAAGCAGATGACATTAAACTGTTAAGTGTTAACAATTAAGTTACTACAATAGTGTAAACTGACAGTGACACAGGCCAACCAGCACACAAGATCGTTCTGTCATTATTCTCAAGTCCCCCATTTGCTCTGCCTACAGGGAGTTGGTTGAGAGTTCTCCATAGGGTTGGAGGTTGGGCCATTGTCCTTCTGTCTTTGGCGAGGGCTATATTGATGTGTCCTGAATGAAAAGAAGTGATACTGGGTATCTATTAGCAAGTCCACAGTAATCTCAATCTTTTTTCTTTTTTGTAGATAGTGAAAAGCCTTCATTATATTTATTTTTGCTTAGTTATCAAGCGTAAACTTAAAAAATTATTGAGTTGACAATAGTTAATAAACTATTGAGGTGACAATAGTTAATAAAATTATATAGGTTTCAAGTGTACAATTCTACAATATATCATCTGTCTGTTGGGTTGTGTGTTCACCACCCAAATTTAAGTCTCCTTCTGTCTGCATTTATTCCCCCTTTACCTTCTTGTACTGGCCCCCTGGCTATATAACCTTTTGGAAACACTTCTCAAGGACCTTCTCCATTTTTCAGCTCTGGTGCTTTCCCAGACACCCAGCTCTGTGGCTCTTCCTGCCTGGTCTTTCATCCTCTCTCCCCATTCTTTGTTATGTTTATTAATCCAGCTGTTTTATTTGACTTTGTCCTCCATGGTATCCTCCTGCCTTTGCAGGGTTTTTTTCCATGTCAGCTAGCGTCCCCAGGCCTGCATCACAGAAAACTCACATGCCTCTTTAATGGTCAGGAGGGGTTAGCAGGAGAGCACTCTCAGTCACACTGTGTTTCAGTAAAATGGGGGCCACTTTACACCGTAGACTTCCTGGGGGTGGAATAGATAAACTCTGCTTCCCTGTACATACTCCTTTTACCTTGGAGTCCATCACAGTGGGACAAGAAAATGTGAGAGAGAGCAGCACTAGACTTACGAGGGGCAGTTCTCAAGATGACCAGTAACGATATATCAGGACAAGTAAGAGCACAGAATTTAGTATCAAAAATGACCTAAGTGGAAGGCCTGATCTTGACACTTATTAACTAAGTAAACTTGGGCACAATCTCTGAAACTCAGTTTCCTCGGTTAAAGAAGTATAAAATACATGAATTAATGAATAACACACAGGGGCTGCCCTAAGGGGTGATTGTTTTATTGTTGATAATAATGATAATAAGTAAGTATTATACAAAGGGAATTTGGCTAATGAGAAGTGAGAAATCCCTCCTTCCTTCCTTTCTATTCATTCTTTTTTTAAAATAGGTATGTTCAATGAATGAGACAGATAAACATGTTGGGGGAGCTGTATGAAGACATGAGACCACATCTTGAATTGTGTAGTGAATTTATGCTTGGAAGTGATAAGTAGAAAATCTGGAAGAAGGAATGTACAACCAAGGACGAATCAGAAGCTATATTCAGAGCAAGTAGCAAACCAAGGAATAGTCAGATCTCATTAGTTAGGGAAGAAATCTTGTGTATTTTGCTTTAATAAGAATAGTCTTCCAACTGGAAATGAGAAAACATTATAGGGAGAAAATTGCTGTCCAGGATCAAGGAGAACATTTTACTGTCTCTGAGCCAAGATGGATCATACTGGAGGGGATTAAAGGAACTGGTTGGTAGGACCTCTACTGGTCCTCTTCGGAGGACTGGAAAAATGATGGCAGCCTGGAGACCAATAAATACTGACCCAGTTGTTAAAGAAATACTAAAGCTAGACTCAGGAAACTATACACTTGTAGCTTGAAATAGACCTTACCCAAATTCTAAGACAGTTATAACACAGATCACTTGAGAACAAGAGTCAGTGTCATTTCATTTAAAGTAAATCATGCCCTCATGAACATAGACAAAAATGTGGCAATTGCAGGGTCGGGGAGGGGGTAGGTGGAGATGGAAGAGGGTATAGGGGGATAAATGGCGATGGAAAATAAGTAAGTAAATAAATAAAGCATGCCAACTAATTTCATTATCTATTAGGACCCATTCATTTACTACTTGACAGAGACGTTTCGGCAAGGCATTGGATAAAGCCTGCCATGGGTGGGCCCATTCTCAGGCACGCCAAATGTCACCTGTCTGCTGTGGTGGCTGTCTGTGGTGGTGTGCCACAATTCTCTGTGTTGGCCCTGTCCTGACACTAAACTAAAAGGTCTAGTTAGCAATAAAATATCTGACCTTTCTATGTGCTTGTAAAATCCTTATAGTCTAGTTTGAGTCAATGCTAAATAATCACATCTTGAATGAGTAAATTGTTATTATTATTTCAAATGATCTCAATGAGCTAAAATGATACCAGACCAATAAAATGAAATTTAACTGAGACCAGAGTAATGTCCTATATTTTGACTCAAACAAGCACAACAATAAACTGCACCAATGTGATAAAGAACCATGGGAATTGACAACTGTTTGTATCAAAAGCATACAGGCTGACAACAAATTCAATATAAGCTGATAGTATATTACCATAGCCAGAAATGAACTTAATGATGACCACGTTCATTGAAGTCACCTAAACTGATGATGAAAAGTGAATGACATGTGAGGTTCACTGTGTAGATTTGTGCTCTTTCCTGGTACTCTATTGTAAGAGAGATAATCATAAAATAAGGATTGTGTTCAGAGGACAGTGCTCATTATGGGGACTATTCTGGAAGCCATAATATCCCATGAACTATTAGGGAAATGTGTAGCCCAGAGAGAGAAAACTTGGAGGATATAATTAGTAGAGGAAGAATTTTAAGGGGCCCTGCAGGACACAGTAGTTCCACTAGGAAGACAGATTTTTGGCTAAACATTAATAAGTGCTTTCTAATAACAATAACAAGCCCTTTCTGTAAAATTGCTCAAAAGTGAAATGTCCTGGTCAGTCTCTGGAGATCTGAATGCAGGGGCCAGTCAGCCCCTCATCTGCATGCCACAGGGGGCTTTTCTGCATGGGTGGGCTTTTCATGAGATCCTCTGTGATGCCCGTTCCAACTCTGAAGTTCTCTGGTCTTCTCCCCTCTCCAGGGATGCAGTGGAGTGTGGTGGCCAGTGGGAGAGTCAGAGCCACCCTCCAGCGACTTCTCCTTTGGTGGCTGCTCAGCCCTGTGACACTTAGTCCCCTGGGGCAGTGACTCAGAAGACAGCCATCCCTCTGGGAGAGGGCCAGGTCCTACCTAAGCTGCTGCTCGTGCATGACTGCACCTAGTATTCTCTTCACTCAAGTGTTCCATCCATTCGTCCATCTGTCCTTCGGGGCAGGCCCTCCATGCCCATGGGTTTTTCCCCTGGGATTCCAGCAGGTGATGTTTGAGGGAATCCAGGGAGAGCATGGCCCCTTTATTCACTGGGAGTTCTCTTCCAGAGATACCTGCCTCCTATGAAGGGATTTGTTTTATTTCTTAGCACTCCTTCCTGACTTCTCATCCTTGCCTGACACGGTCTCTGGTCTCTTTACTGTGCCTGGTCAGTTTCCCTCGTGTTTCAAACATGATTGCTCACTGTGTCCTATCTCAGTCTTAGGTGTCGCTAAATATGCCTTCTTTTCTGTGCCTGCTCACAGGTGTTGTCCAAACACATTCTCTTGTGCCTGTCTTGGCCAGAGTCATGTTCAAAAGTGCACATGTCTTGCGTGTTTTAACTATTCACTGTCTCATCTCATCTTGGTCTGTGCCAGACATTAGCATACTTGCCTGCCTGTGTCCAGGTCCAAATGTGTGTCCTCCTGGCCAACCCCCACATCAGCAACAGACTTCACCTACTCTGCCTTATGTCTGGTTGCAGTCCTTCTCTTCAGGACAGGCTTCTCTTATTTATCATGGAAGACACTGTGGCAGAGACCTGCCCAAGGAAATGGTCTTTGCAGCGACCTTGGAGGGAAGCTGAAGACAGATAGCTCCCCCCCCACCCCCAGTGCTGTGGCCTCAGCTCTGAGACACTTGCCTTGCTTTTGAACTAGAGCAGCATCTTCTCCTAAGGAGCCTTGAGCAGGGCTGGTGGTACCATTGTGCTTATTAACAGACTTTGGAATCTTTTCCATGAACTCATGGTGTGGCCCATGGCACTAATTTGCAACCCTGGATTCTGGCCATGTTGATGTTGAAGGAGAGAACTGTTGGGAGCTCACACTGCTGAGACCTGTCATTCACTACAGTTTCCCCACCCCCAGCCCCCTGCCATGGAGGCAGGACCAAGCAGTGCTGGAGGTGGAAAACCAGTACTTGACTTGAAGTTGAAGGACCTGCATTCCAGACATGGCTCTGTTCCTGATAGGTGGTGAGATCTTGACCCAACCTTTGTGTCCCTGGACATCGCTCTCTATATCTGTCCACTGAAGTTTGGACTAGGGGATCTCTGAGATTCCTCTCTGTTTCTAGGACAACAGGATGCAGTTACAGCCATCTGCTACCTCGAAAAGCCATGGCCCGCTGTGTTTTGTCTGTTTCAAAAGAACTAGCCACCTCCTTTGGGCCTCTAGACCCTTGACCTTGCCAGCTTTGCCCTTCAGATTCACCTGGATGTCTTTCATTCCAAGCTCAGTCCATGGCTCCTGCCAACTGCCCCAAAGTGAATGTCACAAAGAAGTAAATGACATCACATCCCAGAGCCATGGGAGGTTTTAACCTGGATCTTGGCTACGATTTGATAGCGTCTCAGGACTTTGTATACTCACTTTGTTTCTGCTGCTTAAGAAGTGTCAGTTACCATTTCTTGTTGATGTTTACTTTAGTCCCGGAATCAAACTGAACAGGAAAGAGACTTTGGAATGAGGAAGAGGATATCCACCCCAAACCATCCAAATGAAAAAAAAATCTGTCCTGTGAAGACTTCATTTTACTGGGGAGAAAGTCCTGCCTTAGGAAAGGGAAAAAGCCTCTCAAGAGAATGTTCTTTAGAACTCCCGAGTGTTGTTGAGAAATACTGCACCATGTGAAATGCTCCGTGGGAGGCCAGGACTCTCGCCGGTCTGAGAAGTGGATTCAACTAGACATCCATTCTTATCACACATGAAGAAAGTTTAAGTCCTGCCTTGCACCATGATTCTTGCTAGACAAATCCCCTTTGCTTTTTCAAGTCACTGTCCTCTTCCCTTACTAGATTGGTACTTAGGATCATTTCAAGGTTGATTCTTTTCTAACACAAAGGAGGAGCAGTAAGATTCTGAGTCTCAAGGCTGTGAACCTGGCAGTCAGAACCAAACTGTGTGCTCTGACGGCTGCTGCGCTGCCCATCACCTCTGTGAGCACATGCACTGAATCAATGGCTGACTTACTGTATGACCCTGAACTAATAGCCAAATCCCTCTGGATTCTGGGAGAATCTCTCCTGCCTGCATCACAAAATTGTTGTGATGATAAATGATTTTTGTAAAAAACATCCTGTAAATCATAAAATACCATTCTGTATGTTTATTATTAGTGTGGATGCTTCTGAGCTCCCCAGAGTGAAGAATTCTTGATGAACCAATTTAGAGAATAAGCTTTTTATATTGAAGAACAACACCACAGGAGCACCTTTTTGGGGCTCCAGTCTTCCACATCCATCCTTCTTCTTTTGGCTACTCCAAGTTGTGCAACCCATGTGACATTGCAAATATATACATTGCAAGCCCTTCATTTGATGGGATTTTGTTGTGTTAAAATAAAGGAGTAGGTGGGGAGATATGGGGACTAATTTTGGTAAGAATGAGCCAAATATGTAACTTCAAAGTAGCATGAAATAAATTCAAATGCCTTTTGCCATGAAACATTTATTTGAAGGAAAAAGTTCACCAAAATTATTCTTATCCTATAAATTCTATTTTAAAAAACAACAATCCTCAAATGTGGACCAGATTATGAATGAGCAGCTGACAAGGATGTTACACAATGAATCTGCTAAGATACTGAACCAGATAACTTGAAATTTTGCTAATGTGGCGGTCTGTTAAAATGATTATTAGTTATAGTTTAATGTTATTTTGCTAGCACTTTAATTTTGTTTACATTGTTAATAAAGTAGAATTACAAGTGGGGCCACTTGTCCAGGCCACAATGCACTGAGCTTCACTGTAACGAACATGTAAACTACATGTGTGCCCCTTCCATAGAACATGGAACTTAATTATATAATTTCAAAGGGTTATAAATGTTAATGATGGCTGTAACTTTAGCTTTATGAAATTGTTAATTATACCTGTGATCTACCTGAAGCCTAAACTTTGAAGGCACTAGGATCCTTGAGTCTAATTTGTTTCAATGAGAAGCACCCTTGGCTTTATGATGCAGACTTTTTTGATACACATCCCAAAAAGGTATTCTGAGAAAAATGGGAGCCTATGTAGACTTGTTTTTCAATTGATAAACTCTATTTATTGATAAACATTAATAAATTACATGTATGTTTACATTTGTGCATTCTGTACATGTTTATATAAATTACATATTGAGGGAAATCTTAAGACTTAAAACTAATAACTGAATTTTGAATATGCAATAAAATACCAACAGCAGCCCCCTGTCTCAGTTCTCTGGAGCTTCTTTGTAAGCTCTGTAGACCAACCCATCCCTCTAGAGCTTTGGGCATTTGACGCTGGAGAATGTTCTGTCTCTAGTATCAGGTTCTCCTCAAGGTGAAGCCAGAGGCCCAGGACCACTGGATGACGTGATTCTACCTGTCTGTGTGGACCTTTGTCAGGGCCTCGAGCACTAGGACAGATCTCTCTGCCATGGTCATCCCAAGAGCAGAGGGTGGGGAAGGATCCAGCACAGCCACTCTCAGGACATAAGCCCTGGGAGCCATTCCCAACTGCATATACATCCACAGGGCTTGGATAGAGGCTACTGAGCATGTGCCTCTTTGCTGAAACATTTTTTGGTGTCATGAGCCCCCAGGAACCCCCCCAGTAACCTCCCATGAGTCCAGCCCCCATGCCCTGGAGCCTTTAGGGTGTTAGGCCTAGGGTATATGTCAGTGAAATTCCAGCTCTATTACTTTTGTGTAGGGGCAATGGAAAGAGCCCCATTGGTGGTCAAGGGCAGGGTATTTGTGCCAGCTCTTCTGTCTAACTCTTGGGGCCTCCACCATGTCACATATCAGATACAGAGGATGGACAAGAATTAGGTTTTCAAGTCAGAATCCTTCACACACAAATTTACCTGGAACTTCATTGTACGTGGGCCGAAATAGGGTGGGGTACAGTATAACTGGATCCTCCATCTCTGCTCATTGTGTTTCATCCCTGGAAAGAGCCTCCTACACTGCTTAAAATTCTAAGCAGCTGAACCAGACACTCTCCTCTAGAGGTCTGTGATGGTGTTTTGTTTTCCTCCTCCATAGTTTTTCTAAAAAACTCATAAGGCCTCTGTGGTATTTATCCAGATATATTTCCTCAGAATCATAACTGTCCACATTTTTACAAAATTTCTTCCTCCATACAAAAAACAAAAACAAAAAGCTTAGCCCTGGCTGTGTAGCTCAGTTGGTTAGAGTGTCGTCCCCTTACATGAAAGTTACGGGTTCAATACCCAGTCAAGGCAACCAATGAATGTGTAAATAAGTAAATCAACAACTCTCTCTTTCTCTTTCTCCCCCCTCTCAAATCAATAAATTAAAAAAATTACTCAATGTCTTGAAACTTTCATCCTAGAATGACAGTCTGAGCTATAAGCCCCTTGCAAAGCATCTGCTGTGTCCAGACAGAGAACTAGACCTTGGACACTCGACCAGCCCAGCCTAAGGCCACTGTCCCCATTCTTGCTTTTCTTTCAAATTGTCTTTCTTCACTTTGGAGCAGCCTTCTCTCAACCCACCCAAGGGTGAGAACCTAGCGATGATTCAGTATTTGCTATATGGTAGATAGTTTTTATTTGTTATATAGCTTACTTTTATCAATAGCACTACAATATTCACAGATTTATTTTTTGGGACATCTATTTTGTGTTAGAAGTTAATCAATAAATAGTACAGACAAGGTCTCTGTTCTCTCATCGGGAACCAGAAAATTAACAAGGAAACATATATATGTAAATTAGACAAGTTTAGGTATAATACTATAAAGAATATGGAAAATAGAGATGAGGCTGAGGTGTGCACATGATATGGGGTAGTCAGGGAAAGCTGCATGGAATGGGGCCAGTC